GGCGTACTGGGCGGACTGTTTAAATTTCTGGAGCTATGAGAGCAGAGTATGGTTGGCATTTTTTTCTTTCTATACTGGAGTATCATATTTTTATGCATTGTAAACTGATTGGAGCACGTTTAGAGTTTTTACTCACTATTCTCTCTTCAGAGTGGTTAGTTTATTCAGAAGCAGAGCTCATTCCCTACTTAATTTGTTTTGGAAAATCAATAGAAGGTCCAATACAAGAGGAAGAGTATTTACACGAATACAAATACCCAAAGTTCACCATCCGATCCACGGATTGAAGCCCCAAAGCCGTATCAGTCGCGAGTTGTCACAGATCACTGCCAACAATCATCAATTCATCGTGAGTCTGACTCTACTAGGGAGTAGAGATCCAGTAGTGGTCGAGAGAATTGAAGGTAAATTACGAAATTGCTCTCAGTGAGTAAAATCCGTGGCATCTACACAAGTAGTTGTAATGTACAATATTATACCCGAATATACCAACAATATTGAGTAGCCCCATGTGCGTTGAGATTTCTATTACAACTTTGCATACTATTTATGTGCTGGCCACCGCTCAAAATAGTTCATTTGTTGACATGTATTGTCTACATATTTCTTCTGGTCTATTTGCACTAGTCAGCAGCTTTGCTGCACTGACTCTGGCTCAGCCCGTGGGTACGCAGCATCCTCTCACCTATACTAATAATGGTTATATAGGTAACACCTGGATCGAAAGTTTTTGGACCACTAATGACAATGTCTACTGGCGCTGCACCCGACCTGGTCTGATCGCCATCACCTACGACGATGGACCAGCTATAGAGCTTTCTTCTTCTGACCGCACATACAAGGCCCTCGATCTCCACTCCCGCTTGGGCGTACCCGCCACCTTCTTCGTCCTGGGCAAGTACACCGATGTGGACGACCCCGCGTTGCAACAGAAAATTCACGACGTGCTTCGACGCATGGTGGATGAGGGACATCAAATCGCACACCACTCTGTAACGCATAAGCGTATCACGGAGAACCCCAATTTTATTGCTGAACTCGAGGAGCAGAATGCTTGGTTTGCTGCCAACTTTGTGTACGGAGATATTCTTCGTAGCTCGAACGGTGTCAGATATGTGCGACCACCCTACCTCGATATGGACGATTTGAGCGCCAATGCGCTTGGGGCCGCCGGCTATAAGGTCGTGCAACGCTCGGCATCTAGCAAAGATACAACAGTGGGAAACACCGCGGACATAGGAAGTTCTCATATTTGGTGTGATACCGAGTCAGGCTACAGCTGCCCCACAGAATACCCTGCGCCGCTGAATGCAGAAATCTCTGTGTCCCAGAATTCTTGGATAGGTCTCTTTCATGACAGGGGGGCAGCGTTTGACTCTTCCATCACCGCCGAGTTCATGATCACGCGTGCGCGTCAGATGGGCTACCGCTTTGTGACTGTCGCTGAATGCCTCGGGGATAGTCCTCTATGCTCGTGTCCGGAGAATGCTTTCTGTGATGAGAATCGCGATTGCTTTTGCAACGAAGGCTACACCATGATTTCAAATCAGTGCGTTGAAAATGCGGACGAAGTTAGTGATCAAAATCTTTTGGACTCTAGTCCGAACCTTTGTTTTTTAATGTAAATTTTACACTTCTTGTACTTTGATCATGACCCTCACACGTTTCCCTTCTTTCTCGATTGTCAAAGGTATTCGCATGATGCTCACCCTTTGTTTACTGAATCTACAGTGTCTGCCTGAGCTTTCTTGCTCACCCGGAAGTATTCGACTGGGGAACAAGTGCGTGTGCGAGGACGGCTTTCAAATGAACGCCGATCTGACCTGTGATGACATTGACGAATGCCTGACTGACGGCATCTGCTCAATGACACCGGGTTCGGAGTGTATCAACACCCCCGGTTTTTTTACCTGCGCGTGCCCAGAGAACACAGCCTTGTTGAACGGGCACTGTATCATGACGGGGTGTTCCGGGTGCCCACCGAATGCAGGCAACATCAATGGCGAGTGCATGTGCGCTGATGGCTATGTGAAAGACGGTGGGGGAGCATGTGTGGACATTGATGAGTGTGCGCTTGATGCATGCGCCGCTCTGACGAACACCGAATGTGTAAATACAGACGGTTCCTTTGTCTGCCAATGCCAACCCTTCTGGCTGGGACCAGCTTGCATAGAGTACGACTATTGTGGAATGGATCCGAATGCGTGCACCGGAGCAGGGTACAGTGGCGAATGCAGCAACAGTGGATCCGGACCTGTGTGCACCTGCCTGCCAGAATGGACTGGAGATAGCTGTGAGATTTCCAAAGGCGATTGTTACGCTACTGTCCAGTATCCTGTTGGGGCTCTGAATCCGGACTCCGGCCAAGAAATCGCTTTTGCGAGCCTAGGTGTAGGTGAGTATGCTATTTTTTGCGTAGTCGTTTCATTTTCCATCACACTGTTGTAATACACTCTAACCAACTTCATTTCTATATAGGTGCGTGTCTTATGGGGTTAGTGGTTGACGTGGGCACCTACCGGATGAACGGCCAAGAGTTTATTGACGCGCCTTTTGAGATCTATATTGATAATAACGATGACGAAACGGACGGCTACACCGGTTCCGCCGTGACTGGTGCGCGCTGGCGTGTCAAGTACCACAAGGTAAGGCGTGTCTCCCTAGCATTCCAGGATATGCTGTCTTTTTTTTTGTAAATTTTGTATCGGTAATTAGCACACGCTAACCCAACTTTTCTTTTGTATACCAGGTATGCGAATACCCGACCGCCTCTTCTACTTACACAGGTTGCAGCACCATTGCCAATGCCGACGTGAATGTAGTCGACAATGGTCCTGCTGGCGTTTCGCTAGTCATTCCGTGGGAGAGCTTTGGATTTGCCAATGCTCCAGTGGGCCAGACATGGAGGATAGGAGCCCGAAGCAGCAACCTCTTAAGCGATACCCGTGCATATCTTCCCGACACCCGTTATACCGATGCCGTTCCCATAGCGTACACCATCGCCCTACCCGGGACGCGCAGAGACACTGGAGAAATTATGGCTCGAGCTAAGGGTGGTAAGAAGTGCAAGGAAGGGACTTGTTCTGGACGAGGAACGTGCACCCAGGGTGAAAGAGGTGCCGTTTGCTGGTGCGAGGATGGATTCGATGGCGAGGGCTGCGAAGTGTACGATGTCTGCTCGTTAGGGGATAATCCTAATTCGGCCTGTGAGAGAGTCAGTGGTGTGAGCACTGAGTGCATATCGAGTAATTCTGGCTTCACATGCGCGGGTCTGCCGAATGAGTTTCGGATGGACCCCAACCTTGATCTCGCGCTCGCGTCAGACACTGTGCTCAAAGGTGACGCAGATCTGGACACACGCACCCAGGCGACGCTGTGGACGGCACTAAACTGTCAACAGTTAGTGGAGCACGTGGTACAGTCGATCCTGAGACAGGCACTTGTTGTGGAGCTGCGCAGCTATTTGTTTACAGAGATTCAGATCGCCAATGCTAGATGTGCGAGCGATACGATAGCGTTTGAGAAAGAGCTGGGCAAACGGTTGAAGGAAGCGGCTAAAGTGGATGATCAGGCGGACTTGTGGATGCAGGCGATCGACTGCGATACCAAGGGCAAATGTAGCGGGGTGAAGGAGAAAGAAAACCAGAAGAAAAACCATTAACCTTCTTCACCTTCAGAAAAATAAATATACCTGGTATATAATACCTAATAAAACAAATCTAGTTGCACTTCTCATCTTAATCTAACAATGAATTGTGTCACGACTATTTATCTTCCTTTTGTGGAGTGATCTTGAAGCTATGGTAATGTGCGATAAATACAAAACTATGTAGAAGAGCGAGTGGTATGATGAATTCCAGGTGGCGAAAGAATTGAATTGAAAAATTCGCTACACTAATCAACAATCCTATATAATTGATTAGGTGGAATGTTCCTTTCATAATGTTCCTTTCATATCTCTATTGAGTGGAGTGACAAGAGTCCTTGGGAGTTTGCACACGGATTCTGAGTAGTATATTGTAATCTGGATAACTTTAAAGTGACAGCGTTGTCCCATGCCGGCTATAATGGTATGGTAGTTGACTACAGTACAGCCCAGAGTGTGGACGCAAGGAGACATGGATTGTCCAAAATTGATACTCCTGCTGGTTAAAGGGCATAGGTATTGTCTGATCTGAGTTGTACAGTTGGGCAAACTACGTATTGGTATATGTTAGACTCTTTCCATTTAATACAAACTGTACTCTGGGAAAGTTGGTCGGGACCGGTGTGGAATACATATAACCAATTTTGAGCTCCTGTTCAGCTTACAATGCAAGTAGGACCACGAGAATGGCATAATTCTTTGGTAATATCTACGCGTTAGACTCCTAAAGTACTTTTTGAAATAGACTATCAGTGTAGAATTACATGATCCAAAGCACGACTCGGATGGTGATTCGGATGCTTTCATTATCCACTGTACGTTGGTTTCATATGTAAGCCCTACACGTAGCCAAATTTCGGGCACAAACGTGCGTGTTTGCTCTTCATTTGTCTTGTGCTCATTATTGTGCATGTTTAAGTTGGTAAGTGCGTAAGACCGTTCCTTAAATAGGTATAACAATATAACAATATAACAATATAACAATATATCTATATATCTATATATCTATATATCTATATATCTATATATCAA